AGGGTTCCAGTTTCTCCACAACCTCGCCAGCATTTGTTGCTTGCTGTTCTGTTAAATTTTGCTATTTTGACTGGGGTGAAATGATATCTCATAGTTGTTTGTTTTAATTTGCATCTCTCTTAGAGCTAGGGATTTTGAACATTTCTTCATGTGCTTATTAGCCATCTGAATGTCATTTTCGGTGAAGTGCCTGTTCATATCCTGTGCGCATTTTTCTATTGGATTATTTACCTTTATCTTGTTGTGGTGAACACATTAGTCTTTAAGATGGCATCATTGCTCTTCAGGACAACTCATAGCAACCCTATAAACAACAGATTGGAAACCTGCCCTCTCCTGTGTCATTCTCAAGATCTCCAACTTGATCAAGCAAATACAAAATACATGTAGATGCAAAATACAGAGATTCATCTTTTTGTACAAATGGTAGCATCTTGTTCAGTTTTGCTCTTTTTTTTTGTTTTTGTTTTACTTTTCATCTTGGAATTCTTTCTGTATCAATTCAAAAAGAGATAGATGCCTTGTTCTTTTCAATAGTTTTATAGTGTTCCATCATATATTTCCAGAACTTATTTGGTGGTCCCCTATTGATGGGGATGTGGGTTGTTTCAAATCCAGTGATCTTAGACAACCGTCATTTCATAGATGTGCTCGTACACCTAAAACATGAGAGTTTTTTGACACTTTTCTGAACAATTCACAACTGAATAGGCAGAATTCCAAACTAACACACTAATTCTAAAAGAGACTCACAAGAATATTCTCTCCAGGTCCCTGATGCTCTCAGCCTCCCTCTCCCCACCTGTGAAATGAGCAGACTTTTCCTAGCCCCTGAAAGCTTATAGCTGCATGTTGTTAAAACTCAGAAGCTTTGAGATTCTTCAAAAGGAGGAAGATATTTTTCCTCCCTTTCAATTTAATTTCCTGTTAGATTAAAAGGTCTTAAAAACAAGCTTTTTAAAAGAAATCCTATCTTTTCTAGTCTTGGCAATTATACTATGACTAAGGCAGCTTTCTCCTAAAATATTTTTTTCCCCAACCTTTCAATTTGCTCAGGGATGGATTTTCTTATTGCAAAAGGCTCACTATGCTTTGTTTTTAAAATGATAAATGCAAGGGAAAGAAGATGACTTGCCTATTTGAGTTTTTTCAAGGAAGAGTATTTCATCAGCTGCAAAAGCTAAGCTAACAACTAAGGAAAATGCAGGGTAAAAAGCCACCAAGTGAGGAAACTCAGAGGGGAATTAAAGAGAGTGTCAAACATTTAAATTAGCAGATAATTAATTAATTGTCTCTTCTTAAAGCAGCTTGGGGGTTGATAATAAAGTGGGAAGATGATTGTCACCAGAGGATGAGGATAACCAGGAATGATTTCCTGGGCTCTACGTGTCACATCTCATCCCCACAACTGAAGCAAATCTGTGGCTGGAACAGAGGTCCTTGTGTCAAAAGCCACGGCCTCATCAGAACAGATGGGCTTTGCTTGGGTCACAGAACCATTTTACCCGTTATGTTGCTTTGACAACTAAAACGCTGCTCTTCCAACATTCTCAAAAAGACCAGTGATTCTCAATCCTGGCTGCATACTGGAATCATTCAAGAAGTTAAAAAGGCCCCGACTCTCAGAGAGTTTGGCTTTCATTGTTTGCGGTTAGATCCTGGGAACCGTGTTTTGTAAAGCTCCTCCAGATAATTCTAACATGCAGCCAGAATTGAGTATCATGGTTACAGAGACTTCTGGAAGGTGGGATTACAAGCAGCCTGTGTGACTCAGGGAAAGAAAGAAGAAGGGGTTTAATGTGATAAGAGACCCAATCCATGGTAATCCTGGAAGAGGCACAAAAAGCCAGTCTGACCCTGTCCTCCCTGCTTTAAACCCTCGAGGCTTCGCTGTTGCTCTCAGGATAAAGACCAATGTCTGAGCTGCCTACAAAGCATTTCAGACCTGCCTCCTCCTTGCTCTTCCCGCTTCCCTCTGTCTCTGCTCCAGTCACACCAGCCTTCCTTCAAGTCCCTAAAGGTATCCAGTTGCCTTCTACCAGTGGTCCTCTGCCTGTGGCATTCCGCTCCTTTCTCTCACCCTCCATGGGACAAGTCTCCATCCAGATAAAAGACCGCCTAAGACTTGAAATGACACATTGTGACTTTTTTCTTTTTAAACTAAACAATACCATTTTGGTTTGATCATAAATGTGTGAAAATAGGCCTTGGCATTCTCTAACATTGCTATTTAATGGCAATCATTTAGGAAATGGGATTTTTTCAAGGGTCCTATCACTTCTTTTGCACAAATAATGTACCTGATACATGGTCTTGAGTTTGGTTTGTTTTTGCAAGCCATACAACCTCCTCAAACTTTAATTTCCTATGCGTTGTTATAAATATGAGCATGTCAATTAAAAAAAATACATGTATACATGTCTCCCAGAGGGGTGGTGGGAAGACAGCAGAGACCCTAACAGTGCTCAAATCTGGCACCACTACTGCTCAGTTAATTTGAGCCATTCACACTGAGAGCAGCTCCCTTGGTCATTTATGATAAAAGAAGGGGGGGAAAAATCACAAAAATCAGGTTCCCTGCAGAGCACAGGCCACAGGGGTGTTTGTGTCTATTTCATCTCATGTATCCTTTGTCGTGTGTTAATCTAACAGGAAAGTAGAGATGACCTGGACCCTTATGAAGAACCAGAAGAACCCCTGGAAGAAAATCATCAAGACAGTCAAGGTAGAGACAGTGGGTTGGGTTCTGTAGTTGTGTCACTGTAACTGCTGGGTGAACTCGGCATGGTTAAAAGATGTTCGTGGGGTTGACCCTTCCGTTTCCTTCTAGGTCATGGTTTAGGAGCTACACAGAGCCTAGTGCTAAGTTCAGATCTGATGACATCCTTAGTGCACCACAACTCAAATTTGATCCTTCACAATTGATCCCTTCTGATAGCACAGCCAAAGGAAATGAGTCAGATATTGTCGTCCTTAAGATTGTCATTGGCTATTTCTGGAAGTAGATCATCCCACTGTTCTTGCTAGGCTGTCATCCTCTACTTCCACGAGCACCTGCACACCCTGGGCGACCTTCCTGCTATTTGGAATAGCAGTAGTTCAGTGTCCCACATCATAGCAACACAAAAGTCACCGCCATGGTGGGAATGAGAAAGAAATGAGAGCATTCATGTAACTAGTCCCTTAACAAGCATTAAACTTGGCAGCTTGAATGTCACAATGAAAAGGTATCAACCTTCTCTAGGCCACAGTACCTCTCCATCTGTGATCGGATGCCAGCTCGCTCAGTCTCCTTTGGAACCCTGTGGGGAAGGAAATGGTGAGAACACACTGAAGATCAAGGTGCAAAACTCTGGCTTTGGAATTTCAACCTGAACTACATTTTTGTCTGTTTACATCTTTCCCCCTTTTTTCCTTTTAGTTTTTTCCTCAGAAATATTTCTCAAGACTAAATTGTCCAAGATATGTAGTTCTAAATAAGACAACCTTTTTTTTCCTTTCAGTTGGCATCCTGAACTCAGATAATTAATTTTTATACTCTGTTTTAAAAGATCTCACTGTTTCTAGACATCAGATAAGAAGATATCGTGGTAACCTGATCCCTGTGTTTGTTCCACCCTTAAAGCAGACTTTCTGCTAACTTGGGGCTCCTGTCACCTCCATTTTCAAAGTGGAATGACAATAGCCAGGGAAGTACTCTCGAGTCTTCAGATCTTCTATGTCATAAATCACACATGCAGAATTTGGACACTGATGAGGCTCCAAGGTCTCGCCCAAGTGCAGGGGAGGTCTTAAGGAGCACAGAATGTTGGCCAAATTTGAATGATGACGAAGTCAATCAAAACAGATCTCCTGCCTCATGACAAAGAGGCAGGCTCCAGCTGGGCTCCATAAAGGTTATTCAGAAAGTGAAACACCAGGGCAGAAAATGAAAGAACTTATCTGCCTGTCCTGAATGATAAATGCTAATGTGCGAGAAAGGATTTCAAGTCTTTGAAGGCAAAAAAGAGAGAGTACCAAGGAATTTTTTTTAAACAATTTGAGGATAAATTTCCATTCCCATAGGTCTGAAGGTCAATTGTCAGAATTTTCTTTTTCTACTCTAAAGTAAGTAGCCATCTCCATGGTTACAAGTGGCTAGGGCCATGCTTCCAGCAGTGAGTCTTGAACTTGCAGAGAGCACTGCATGCAAGGATTCCTGAGACATAACGAATCAGCAGCCTTCAAATCAATGAGAGTTTTGGAAATTGCTCTTATTTTAAACATAAACATTTCTTTCTGTTTTCTACCCCCTCTTCCACAAGTCCATGGAACTAATAAAACCTCAGTATCACACACATGCACATAAATTGCCATCAAGTCATAAATTCTGTTATGTGTATCAGAATATAACTATAATTTTCAGTGACTGATTTTTCAGAAGTAGAGTGCCAAACCCTTCTTCCAAGACATCCCAGATAAACTTGACTTCCAATCTTTACATTCATAGCCAATCATTAACTGTTTGCACCAAGGGACTCCTCCACGTCAATTTTTAAAATACCAAATCCATTCAGGCAGTATTTAGTTCTATTGTATATATGGTCACTATGCTGTGCTGGCCTAGTGGTAAAAAGCGCTGTGCTGCTAAAATAAACATTTATTTAAAAAAAAAAAAGCTGTGCTGCAATGCCAAAGGCAGGCAGTTTGAAGCCACCGTCTGCTCTGCATGAGAAGGACAGGCAGTCTCCTTCTATATGACTACGTGCCTCTGAAAACCTACTGGAGGGTCCACTATGGGTCAGTTCTGATTCGATGGTAGTCGATAACAGCAACGTGAGTCAGAAGAGACAGGATGGCACCTAACACCACCAGAACCACCTTATTACCATCAAGTCAGATCTGACCCATAGTGACCCTACAGGACAGAGCAGAGCGTCCCCACTGGGTTTCCAAGGCTGTAAGTTTTGCAAAAGCAGACTCCCGTGTCTTTCTCCCTGGAAGTGGCTGTTACTGTTGTCACGTTACTGCTCATTAGAACACTAGGCCGCTAGAACTACTGACTTTTCAGCTCTCACCTGAGTGCTTAATCGGTGTGCCACCAGAGTGACTATGAATCTGAATTGGCTTGACAACACCAGGTTTTGTCTTTTTAATGACTGCTCTTGTTTCTTTCAAGTCAAGTAGTTTTCAAGTCTCAGTGGACATCAGAATTGTTGAAATAAAGATTTCTAGGCCCTACCTCAAGAGTTTCTGTTTCCTAGTTTGGGGCTGTAACTAAAAATAGAACTTGAATTTTAATAAGTTCTTAGTTGCTACTAATTCTTGCTCTTGTGAGGTTTGGTTGAATCTTCTGCTTACACCTTCCTTTTGCTTAAGGCCAAGCAATCCGAACAAGGCGGCCCCACCTGTAGGCTGTGTTCATGATTACAACTTCATAACCTGTTAGAAGAAGAGATTAGAGGAAGTGGCCTGCATGGTCCCTAATGAGCAGTAACTGGGGAATAAACAATTAGCAGGATATGTTGAATCCATCAGAAGTTAATGTGTTATTTCCATTCTTTCTCTTCTGCCAGAAAAGAAAGGTTCAGAGCTTTACTGCTTTAACCTAAAAAAAAAATTTTTAAAAATGGATGTAGCATCTCTCCTGCTCAGAAGTAAGAGAGAGGGTCACAGTTAGCCCACAGCTGCCTTTTAAGGGCATATCAGGAACATTTACCTATCTCCTCTGAGGCAAAGAAGCTGTTTCTTGCTTGATGCCAGGCTAAACCTAGAGTGGCTTTTGCTACCCAAAGGCAGCGGAGGGACAATGGGCACTGGGGGACAGTGATCACTCTCTGATATACGTGGGTGATTGCTCTATTTTAACATTTCCTCCCTCTGGAAACAAGCCGTCACAATTGTTAATGTCGTTGCCATGTGCCCTGGAGTCGGAATGGATTCATAGCTAACCCTCCAGCTGGTTTTCAAAAACTGTTAATCACACAAGAATAGATGGTCCACCTTTCTCCTGTGGAGCAGCTGATGATCTCGAACCACCTGCCTTTCCATTTCTCTCACTCATATTACCTCATTAAGCTCAGTGGGTCTTGTCTTTGCCACAAAAACAATGCATATTTAGCTGTCCGGTTCCTGGATCACTTGAAAAGACAGGTATCCTTACTTCCTCTATTGGTCTTTGTGGTGCTAATGGAGATGGGGGAGGAGGAAGTAATGCGTTTGTAAATTTGCCTGATAACCTTTAAAAGAGTAAAGGCTTCTGTGAGGTATGATTTCCATGGCCCTAATGGGAGCTGCCTGGGGTAGCAGGCTCTCTGCTTTGAAAACAAACCCTTTATTAAGAAGCAGCTGATGCAGTCTGGCTGGAGCTTCCCCTCCCCTTGGAGCCCGGAAATCAATTCAATTCCACACAGGCTTGTTAGTTGACCACTAAGTACTATGTCCATTTCTTGGAGGCAAGGTCTATGCCTTAGCCAGGCCTAGTAGACATTCCACACAAGAATGAATGAATCAAATGAAGGAAGGAAAGAATGTAGTGGAATCAAGAGGTTCACAGACAATAAAACAAAGCTCCCTACTCTAAGGGCTTACAGTGAAAAGTTTGGCTTGGGGCAAGGCACACTCCCTGTTGGGAAATCATTCTCTAACTGGGTATATCCAGAGCCGGGAACAGGGACCTGCACATTTGCCACAGACATCAAAGCAGCCCCAGGGGTGGCCTATGACTAACCCTGATTGGTGAGGACTGGCGTGTGGAGGGGGCTGGCTTTGCTGGCTTTTGGGTGAACAGCCCAGATGCCCATTAAGCTAATAACTCACAACTCACTGCTGCCAAGTTGGCTCCAGTTCATGCTGAACAGCCCCACCAAGTTTCCAAAGCTATAAATTAAAACACGAGAAGACTGCCCATCTTACTCCCTCGGAGACGCTGGTGGATCTCAACAGCCAGACACAGGCAATCTTTAGGTTAATGATGCAGCTCACTAGGTACTACACCCGGAAAGCTCCCAATTTAACCTGACAATGCTGATCCAATCAGTGGCCAATGCGCCAAGTAATTTATCACAGGGGAGCTGGGCTGTTGAGACTGGCGGTTTTGTTAGAAGCACTAATCCAAATGCTTTATATCTAGAACCTAGGAATTTATTAAAAATACAAAATCTGGGGTCCTACGACATATCCGTTGTTGTTGTTTTGTGCTGTCAAGCCGACTATGACTCATAGTGATGATGTAAATAATAGATCAGAACCTTGCCCTATTCTCAACAAACCTCACCATCTCTGACATACCTGACCCCATTGTCACAGTCACTGTGCCAATCCATCTCATCCAGGATCTTCCTCTCTTGCACTGACCCTCTACCCTTCCTAGCATGACGTCTTACTCCAAGGACTGGTCCCTCCTAACCAACATGCCCAGTGTATATGAGACAGAGTTTCAAAATCCTTGGCTCCAAGGTTCACCTTCTCCAGGACACACCTGTTTGTTCTCTTGGCAGTCCATGGTATGTTCAACACTCTTCTCCAGCACCACAAGTCAAAGGCTTGGATTCTTTGTCGACCTTAGACTGCCTAGCTCTTAGATGCATAGCAAGCAACTGAGGAGATCATGGTCTGAATCAGGCAGACCTTAGTCTCTAGATGGACATTGTTGCTCTTTAGACTCTGGAGGGGTCCTTAACATCAGACTTTCCTAAAGCAACTTTTATTTTGCTTTCCTGACTGCCGGTGCCAAGAGTGTTGATT